GGCCCTATTAAGGTTTAAATATATATAGGTAGAGAAGGTTTAGGGTGTAGGCTTTAGGGTTTAGGATGTGGGTTTTGGCTTTAGGGTTTAGAGCTTAGGGTTTGGAATTTAGTGTTTAGGCTTTGGGGTTTAGAGTCTAGGGTTTAGGATTTGGGGTTTAGGCCTCAGGGTTTAGAGAGTTTAGGGTTTAGGATATAGGGTTTAGGCTTTAGGGTTTAGAGTTTAGGGTTTAGGATTTAGGCTCTAGGGTTTAGAGTTTAGGGTTTATGGTTCACGGTTCAGGCTTTGGGCTAAGGCAGTCCAAGTTTCCCTTGTACTTTGACAAGAGGCAATCGATCTTCGCCTGTGAACTTAGCTGTCTTCAACAGCCCCGCTGCCCAAAAACAGGTTTTAGCTACCAAAATCACGAGAAATAACAACACCAAAATACAAAGTTTTAAGATAATGATGCAGGTCTGTAGAGTGAGGCAGTAAAAGATTAATCATAGACGACTACGCTAGTTCCTATTGGGATATGGTTTGAAGATATTAAGTCACACTCTATTTGGGCTTCAATATGATTACGAATTGGGTCAATCCCCCACCCAATAACGGGTACCACAAGGGACTATTGTAGGTATATTAAGGCCCTCTTAACTCCACATCTAAGGGGCTGTTGCTACAGGTGGGATCTACCTAAATGAAGAATAGGACAGTTCAACAGGTCTGTTAAGGCCTGTGAAAGCGAAAGCTCCTGGGACCCAACCCAGTCTTCCCCAAACCCTATAAACCCTTAACCCCTGAGCCCTCTCCCTTGAACCCTACACCCTGAGCCCTGACCCCCGAAACCCTACACTGAACCACAAACCTAAGACAAGCACAAGCCCTAAAGTCCACAATGGCCTGCGAAGCGTTTTCCAAGGAGTATTGCGCCACCACCTCTAGGTTAGGTACTTAGGGTTTTAGGGTGTAGAGGTTTAGGATATAGGTGTTTTAGGGTTGAGGGTGTAGTGGTTTAGGATATAGGTGTTTTGGGGTTTAAGGTGTAGTGGTTTAGGATATAGGTGTTTTGGGGTTTAGGGTGTAGTGGTTTAGGATATAGGTGCTTTGGGGTTTAGGGTGTAGAGGTTTAGGATATAGGTGTTTTGGGGTTTCGGGTTTCAGAGCTCAGGGTTTTAGAGGTTTAGGGCTTAGGGTTTTAAGGCTTTGGGCTTAGGGTTTTAGGGCTTTGGGATTATTATGCCACCACCTCTGACACATTGGCCTGGGCACTCCCAAGGTTGTCGTGGTAGTCCTCCGGCATGCAGGACCCAGCTTGAACTTCGTGCGATTAAGGGTTTAAGGCCTATAGGCTTTAGGGTACAGTAGTTCTCCGAACCCAAACACCCAAACCTGAAACCCTAAATCCTAAACCCTCAACCCTAAATCCTAAACTCAAAATCCTTAACTTCTCAAGACAAGGGCGTACTTAAGGACCCTAGGGCTACACAGGGAACTAGGTACGAGCAAAACCAACTCGGTCACCTATGATTTCAGGGTTTAGAACCTTCCGCATCACAGCAGTGAAGCAGAAAACGTGCATCATTGAACTATTTCCGCCCAAAAAGAAATTTGCTTGATCCAGAATGCGTCACTTAGGGCAGTTCAGGGCTTAGGGTTGGGGGTTTGGGATTTAGGGTACGGAGCCTGGGGTTTAGGGTCGAGTCTAGGGTCTAGGATCTTTAGAGTGGCTGGCCCTGAAAACTTGGGACATATGGGGGCTTTCCCAAAATTAGGGGTACCTTTTGAGGGTCCCTATAATAAGGACTATCAAATATTTGGGTCTATATCGGGGTCCCCCTACCCTTTGGCTTCAAAAAAAGGACTATGGGGCCTAGTCAGGGCTCTCCAGTGCGAATATGGGCACACTCCATTTTGAGGATCTCTTGAGTCCACAACTACCCCAAGATGTGACTGAAATTTGCAGCGATCATTACCCTGATGGTCATAGTCTATGCAAGCATCCTGCAATGTAAAGGGTGCCAATTTGTGACGATAAAACGGTACGTGAAGATTGTAAGGAGCAAGTCTTCTTGCAAGCGTCTGTCTGGTTTTGCAACACTTGCTTCCTGCATGCACAGGCTGGTGCTGGGTGGTCGAAACAAGGCATACCAAAGCAGGTAGCTCACCAGAGCCACCAACAACCTTGCGCGACAAAACAGGATCGGTCAGATTCAGGGTGTTATACTATATCTCCAGATGAGCTATGATCTAAACTCCTGGTATCCCCCTTAATATCCCCTATAGTAGTCCGCTATATAGTCCCCTATATAATCCCATGTGATCCATGCAATCCAAATATGATGGCCATTGACGACGGCAGAAGCTTGAAGGGAAACGAGTTTCCTGTTGCAGTACGTAACCCGTACATGTCTACCTTGCAACCCCTATCTTTTCCATCGAGCCTATGGTTGTTCAACGTAGGTAGCTGGTGAAAACTATCCAAGCTTAAAGGCAAATCTTCCAGTAGAAGACAATCAAGAAACCAATCTCTGCAAACACAAATTGAAGGGGGCCCTAAACCCTAACCCTAAACGCTAAAACCCAAAACCCTAAACCAACCCTGAACCCCTAAACCCTAAAACCTTAAAAACTAAATCTCTTGGACATTGAAAGGGGCAGTACGGATCTTACGCTTGGGGCTTATCAATTCAGGGGTATGATTGGGGACTTCGAGGGTACATATGTACATATATATATATATGTATATATATATATTAGGATTTTGGGCTTGGGGTTTAGGGTTTAGCTTATATATACCTGACCCCCATAAGTATGCAGAATAATGGCCCTGGATATTACGTTACCTACTTTTGTGGTTTAGGTATATAATTACACAGAAAGCTATGGGAACACAAGGAGACTGCTGGGAATGTTTTCGAATGTTTCGTATATAAACTCAAAATATGCAGATGTGCCATCTAAAGAAAGACTTCTATGAATCCCCGTGTAAACCTGAATTCGATTTAAAGAAGGCACCAAGCTGTCTAAACAGTAGGCATAGTCATGCGCGTAACACTATCATGAGCACAACTTCTGATCGCGCAGCAGATTTGGGCATCACTGTATGATCCCTCAAAAGTTTTGGGTATCACGGTGTGATCTCTCAACAGTTTTCGGTGTCACGCTGTGATCTCTCAAAAGGTTTTTGGTCGTCATGGTTTGATCCCTCAATGTTTTGGGCGTCAAAGTGCGATCCTTCAGGTGTTTTGGGGCGCCACAGTGTGATCTTTGAACAACTTTCGGTGAGAAGCTCTGTTCCCTCGTAAGTTTTGGTCGTCACGGTTTGATCGCTCAAAGTTTCCGGTGTCACGGCGTGGTCCCTCAACAGTTTTGGGTGTCACGATGTGATCTCTGAACAATTTTCGGTGTCACGCTGTGATTCCTCAAAAGTGTTTGTCGTCACGGTTGGATTCCTCAAAGTTTTGGGAATCCCTATCCCTAGAAAGTTTTCTGCGTGATCCCTCAGGAGTTTTCGCCGTCAAGGGTGTAAGCCCTCTTGATCAAAAGTTCTAGCTGTCACAACGTGATCCCTAAACAGATTTGAGCTGATCCCCAACAGTTTTGGGCGTCCCGCTGCGGTCACT